CACTTTGTGTGGATCCTACTTGCAAGGGAAGTTGTGGTGGTTCAAGGTTCAGGGTACCAATGACTGAAGGGGTTAAAACTTGGGATCCCCTCTAAGGCGGCAACTCAACGAGCTGAGTTCAGGGTTCAGGGCTTAGGGTTTGGGGTTTAGGGGGGTTTAGGGCATGTTGGGGGTTTTGGAGGGCTCTTGGGTCTATTGAGGGTGGGCGTTGAAGGCTTTTGCAGGATTTCAAGCTTTCGCGCTTGCTGATTTAGGTTGAGGTGTCTCGGTTTAGGAAAAATGGGCTGACTATTTTGGGGTTTAGGGGTTTTGGGGTTTAAGGTTTTCGGGTTAGGCTTTAGGGTTTCGGGGTTTGGGGTTGAAGGAGGGATTCCCCCCACAGCAATTAACTTTTTGTGAAACCCTGGAGTACCCGAACAGGCCCTTCGCCCGAAGCCTTACACCGTTGGATTTGACTGTAGAAATGAATGGTGCGGTACTTTGCCATTGGCGGCAGGGCTGCGGATTCAATGCACCTCGCACCTGAGCTTTGGGGTTTTGAGGTTTTGACACAGGGAAGGATAGTATGAGGGAATTATGGTGTAGGGTTTAGGGTTGAGTGTTGTTTGGGTTAAGGGGTTCAGGGTTGGACAGCGAGCTAGGATCCTCTCAGCTCGAGGCTGGGGAAGTGCTTCACCGTGAGCGAGCAGATGCTGACATACTTGAAGACAGTCGAGCCGGAGCCCAAGTGTGTCGGCTCAGGGCCTTAGTGGGTTTCATGGGGCGTTACAGGATTTCATCGGGCTTTATCGGATTTCATGGGGCTTTATAAGATTTCATGGGATTTTACAGGATTTCAGGGGGCTTTATGGGTTCCACGGGGCTGCATAAGTCCAGAGCTTTTGGAGGTGTAGACTGCGACGCTTGCAGAGCGGGGTGTGTCCCGAACCAGGGATCCGCAGTTCTGTGCACGCTGGATCCTATAGGGGCCTCTATGGTTCCCAATACCATTTTTTGGGTTCCTCATTATATTATAGTCATAGTTATAATATAACTCCCCCAAACCCTATTCTAATTGGTAAGGCCCTTGTAGTACTTACATAATGCATCTTTTCGTGTCGTGCAGCTTAGAGCTAAAATGCCCGTTGGCGAAGAACTGCTTGTCCAAGGGTTCAGGGGTTCGAGCTTCGCGATTGGGGACTCGGGGGTTAGGCTTAAACTGGCTGGTTGTGAAAGTGTGGCTTTCCCAGTTATCGGATTGAGAGTATGTGAGGTTAGCATGAAACTTGGGCGCTGGTGCCCTGATGTCGATGTAGGAAGGGGCCAGCATAATATTTGGTAGTTCCTGGTCGCGTCCTCGGGCCCTAGGTGTGAGATGCGCATGTTCTCATTAAACTAGGACTGTGTGTCAAACATCGGGTAACCTGTAGTATCGTGGTCTTTCTTTTTGCTCCAGCCTTTGATTCGGCTGAGCAATGGGACCTGCGACTGTAAAACAGTTGGAGCCTTTTCAGATCCTTATCATGAGACTGTCGTGTTGTTCTGGGGGGCCCCTTGAAACCCCAGAGATGAAAAAAACCCAGAGATGAAAGCGAAGCCTCAAACCGACCTGTCCCTGCAGCCCGAACGCCGCAAGCCTTTAAAGCACAATAATATTAATAACAACAATACTAGTAATAATAATAATAACAATAACAATAATAATACTAATAATAACGATAATAATAACAGTGTTCCCCGAAGTTTACCGCCCCGTGGATTTGTATCGGTAAACTAGGGGCCAAATGGTTACCAACACTATTTCGGGGTTCGTTAATTATAGATGTAGCATAATGGGCTCCAACACCCCATACCCTATAGTATTCATTCCGACCCCTGCTTGACCTCCTGATGCCTTGAACCCACATGTTGGAAAATCTTCCCCTAAACCCCTAAACCCCTAAACCCCTAAACCCCTAAACTCCTAAACTCCTGAACCCTAAACTGTGGCTCTGGGGCGCCGTTGCAGGAAACGAGACATCCTGGCTGCGTGGAACCATGCTGTGGAGCCCAAGGTTGTGGACACGCAGGGATTTAGGGTTTAGGGTTTAGGGTTTAGTGTCTAGGACCCAGAGTAGGCCCTTATTCCCTGTTTTTAGGGTTTAGGTTCCCTTATAACTCCCTTTAATTCAAAAAGGGCATCCTTTTTATTCCTAGGTTACTCTTAGGTCTAGGTGTAGAATCCTATATTCGCCAAGAGCTGCTTTAAGGATGCATGTGTACATCAAAATGCCCATCTATACAGTATAAAACTGAGTATAATTATCAACATGTTTCCTTAGAGTTCCGTGTTAAACTTGCAGCATTAAGGGGCCCAACAATTACTAAGGCCCCTATATCCAGGTTTTAGGACAATGAGGCTTTAGGGCTCTGCGGTATTTCGGCTCTAGGTGTTGGCGCAGTTCGGGTTTAGGGATTTAGGGTTTGAGGGCAGTTCCGGTTGAGGGCGTTGAGGTAATGGTTTTCAGGCCTGGTGGTTTGACGGAAGTTAGATGGGTGGTTGTCAAAGTTATGGTCCCTTTTTGGGTCGTTAGCATAGTACGGCACCTAATATTTAGGTACCCAAAAAAGGACCATGATTTTCACAACCACCCAGATGTAGTGAGGCAGTGAGGGTTTAGGGCTTTAGGGTGACAGATTTGGGCTTGGCGTTTGGAATAGGGTTTAGGGCTCAGGGTTTCAAGGTAGTAGGGTTTGTGGTGCTAGGGCAACTAATAAGGTCTAGGGTTGGGGGCAGAAGGATGAAGGGGTTTTGGGGCTTTAGTGTAATTTGAGGCGTAGGGTTTATTTATTCGGGCTATTAGGGTAGGATTTACGGCCTAGGTTTTGGGGTTGCAGGGTAATTGGAGCTTCTTTCGAAGGTCCCATATCGGATATACCCTAAGCCCCAAACCCTAAACCCCTAAACCCCTAAACCCTAAACCCTAAACCCTAAACCCTAAACCCTAACCCCTAAACCCTAAACCCTGAACTTTCTTGTTACAAGGGTTGTTGAGTACTTTCTGTGTCGGCGTTCTAGGGCTGCCTCAGTCCTTGGGGGCAACTCCAGCCGGACAGGTGCGGGCAAAAATTGTCATCAAGCTGGGAGCCCAAGGTAGTGTGCTATACGATTTCTGTTTTTTATGCACGCATGCATATATATATATATATATATATATATATGTATGTATGTATGTATGTATGTATGTATGTATGTATGTGTGTATATATATACATATATATATGTATATATATACATATGTGCATTGGTGGTATATGAGATTATATTGAGTTATAGTTCGTTTATATTGGACTATATTGGAATATAGTTCAGATCTCAAATTCGTTCATATTCGGTTATATTAAAGTATCATTCATTATCCGAGTTGATAGCCCTAAACCCTGAGACCAGGACCATCCAAGACGAGTCCTGACAAAGCCGTATACTAAGCCGAAATCCACCCTAAAACACACGAAGAAGTCTTCATAAAGCTTTCCTGAAACCGTACAAAGTTCTCACAGATCCTTGAAACCTAAACCCTAAACGCCCTAAACCGCTAAACCCTACAATCGGAACCCTACACCCCAGACCCCAAACCCGCCTAGGCTGAGAGCATAGGGTTGTGGAGGCGTGGTTGCAAGTACCTCGTCGAAAGCCTGCCCAAATGGGCTGGTAGAAGCCGAAGAACTAAAAAACAAACCCTAAACCCCAAACCCCTAAACCTTAGCCGGAACCCAGCACCGCAAACCCAAACAAACCCTGCCAAGGCTCTTTGGTGACGGCCGCGATCCTGGAGAGCTCTCCACGGACCAAGCAGCAAAACAGCTGCAGAAGGCACCCCCAAAGCATAATGACCCTAATCAGGATAATGGTACTAGTACTAACGATACAAATATAATTCGAACACTAAGTTGTTAACCGTCATAATGAATAATGATAGGAATGATCGTAACGATATTCGTACTAACTAAATGATAAACAAGAAGAATAGTCCTATAGGGTTCAGGGTTAGGAGACTGAACCGTTAGCCATCCTACTCCCTACTCCTCAGGGTTCCCCTTCTTATCATAAAAGTAGCTCATTTGCCTAAAGCCGCATTCTAAATATTAAGGCCCCTACACTAGCCACAAACAAGCTTCTGCTTTTACAGTTAAACTCTAAGTGTCTCGGGGTATAGGTTGAAGGGTCTTGAGGTTCAGCTTCTGGGGTAGTAAACAGGCTTCAGAGTATCGGGGGCCTGGTGTCCAAGGTTTAGCTACGATGTCGTGGCTCGGAAGTAGTTCCCATTCCAGATACACCCCGGCCAGGGAAGGCTTTTGACATACACTGAGGCTCGTAAAGGTTACAGAGCTTGAGGGGCACTCGACCCTCTGGGTTCGTACCGAATACACAGCTTGCCACCACGCTCAAAGTCCCTGTGACTAGGTTAGATAGGCCTTTGGGATGTTAGATTCCCCTTATTGGGCGTAAGAGGATCTTATCTGGCGTGGGGGCCGCAATATTTGAATAGAGTTTTGCGAGCATCATACTGCTCGATTTTAAACAGGGACGATAAGGGTTCGAAACGGGTCAACTGTTGGGTTTTGAGTTGTGTTGGATAGGATTTTCACCTCTCTGCCGCCATCGCTTTTGGTTTCTTCAGGTGGGCGGCAACGTCGCAGCCTTGCGCCGAGTGGAACGTGAACGGCACCTGGCGACAGTGCTGTGCTCTGTCGGCAAGTATTCAGGTCTTCTCATTGTCACCTTATGGACCGAAAGTCGCGGCAGGGTTCTATGAGGTGCTCCTCTGGATTTGCGCACGGAGCTTTATGTTGAGGAAGGGTTTCGTGTGGATGACTGACCCCCTGCGAACCAAGCGCGAAGGCCAACTTCTTACTCTTAGGTCAGATCCCGACGTGTGATGTGCAGCCATTTGGGAAGGTGGGAGTTGCAGAGAGCTCGCCCAGTCGGCGCGCAGAAACCTCCGGAATCTCTTCTTGTGAAGCTCATAGAAAGGAGGATCATGGCTCTCTTCCAGCGAAGCACATGCTTGGCACTGCTTCCGGCCGTGGCTCTTGCACAAAACTCCTTCTCAGCTGCGCAGCAGCTGCAAGCAGAAGTTGCCCTCAAAACGAACAGCTCCTGGCATTTGGGTGGCTTCTGCATCGGCAAGGTGCAGGTTGTGAGAAGAAACTGACGCCCTCGGCCCCGAACCCCAAGCCCCAAGCTATTTTTACTCCTCAGCTTCCGGAGTTCAAGGTTCGGGGGAACTTCTCTGTTCTCTGACAGGCTCCTTCCGGTACCTCCAAGGCAGCCGAGATCACAGCCCATGTCGACTGGGAAGGCACCAAAAAGTTGGGTGAAACTGGGCCAGTGTTTCTTGTGGCCTACGACGCGCGCGAGCATCAATGGGGCTCCGTCAGGGACACTTGGAGTCAGAATGATGCGCCTCCCGGCTCTTGTTGGTGGCTTCTTTGTTGTTTCTTGTGGTTGGAGATCTAAAAGCGATCCTAGAAATCCCCAAGAAACCCCGGCCAGCTTGAGCTTTTGGTAGATGATGCGTCACGGTACAAAAGCCATGAGGTGTAGCTGTAGCTTTCAAACCGGCGCCAAAGACCGAGGAACACTTAGAGCGTAGGTATACAGAGCATACGTTGGACCTGGCTTACAAGTTTAGGTAACCCTAAACACTACCCTAAACCGTAAGCGAAGCTAGGAATTCGTGCGAGTTCAAGACCAGCGCCGCCAATATGCTGCGCCAGCTCGGCAAGCTACACAACCACGATGTGCCGCGGCATTGATGATATAGTCTGAGTATAGCTTGAATAATTGGAAGAGGCTTTGGACGCTATTCCTTCGAAGCCCTCGATAAGCCTGAAACGGGGCAACCACCTCCCCTGGCTTTGAATCTCTAGTACAGGCTCCAGGTTTTTGGTCTGCAAGACACTTCTGACAGCCCCAAACCCTAAACCCTAAACCCTAAACACCTTATCCACCGTGCTAGGAAACTTGGAGTTCTGCGGAGGTGGAGACGCAGAAAAGCAGTCATATACCAACACCAGAAGCACAACAGCCACAACTCGACTGATGCCCTTGTCTTCAAGTGTGAGATCCTGAAACTACAGTCCTTAAGAAACCCTGGCCCTCTAAGCCCAAAATAGTAGGATTCATAGAAGGAACCCTAATAAAAAGGACCCAAGGAAACTTGAATCCCTGATTCACGCCGAGGTCTTCAGGTTCCAAATCAACATTCACCAAGAAACGGCCGCCAGGGATTGGCATTTTGCAATCCTTACGTGTGGGGACACAGAGCCGGCGAAGCTGTCGCTGACGCTGGAGGCGTCAACGCCTTTTTTTTTTTTGCCAAAGGGCTCCAAGGGCAGACTTCGTTTATACTAGGTAGGGCTTTGGGAGATTTTATATTTTCCCTTATTGGGCTTAAGAGGATCTTATTTACTAATACTTTTCAAAGGCTTTAAAAGCCCCACCTAGTATATAAGGGACTCTTAATCCTTCCTACCTTCATCCCATCTTTTGAGGCGTCGAATTGTGCACATGTAAACCAGCGCTCATATGCACGTCGTTTACACATTGGTAGAGCCTTGCGAAATCCTGAAGCACAAAGCCTACAAACAAGAAGCACATGTACAAACCGTATAGAGCCGTTAAAATGCATTGCACTGCCTTGGTGGAGGGATGCAGGAGTCCGACAAAGCCCGAAATCAACCCTTGCAAAACCCTTATGGTGCCTTTATATCGCCCTGTCTATCGAAGGCCCTGTAGCAAAAACGCTAAACGTATAAATCGTCGATCCGCGAATTCATTCATACGGGTGTGGTTTAATCAGCTGGCGAAGGATCCAGGCGTCGCTCTCGCCCCGATTGTCTACAGACTGCTTGCATAAACCCTTCAACCCTAAACGCTAAACCCTTAACCCTAACTCCCTAAACTTGTAAAAACTGGGTTGAAGCCTTCGCCTGGAAGGTAGAGGAGGGTGCTTTGAGCATCTTCGAAGCCAACACCCACTTCGATGAGAGCAGCTGCCCGGAAGCCTCTCGGAGGAAAGTTCGGAGGACTTGGGACTTAGGAGCTGCGGTTTCGGGTTCAAGGTTTAGGGGGTTTAGGGTTCAGGGTTTAAGGTTTAAAGCCTCAACCCTTAAGCCTCAACCCTTAAGCCTTAACCCTAAGCTCGAGCTTCTTCGCCCAGCTGTGACCCACAGTCCTGATGTGCTCTGAACCGGCCCGGTTCTTCATCCTCAGCTTCCCGTAAGAAGTAGAATAGGGGGTGCAAGGTTTAGGGTTTAGGGCCCTCGTAAAGGGGATATTTGGGGTGCGGGGTTGAGGGTACTCAGTCAGGGGACGAGGCAGGAGAAAATTCATTTCGGTTAAGATGGTCCAAACGGGTCCTTACAGACCCAAATATCACCTGCATGCCTGGGGCTTTGCTGGGTGAAGGGTTATGCAAGGATCCAGGGGCTTGGGCTCTCGGATGTAGGGCGGTGCCCTGCCAATTTCCTTCCAGCCCCTACATGATCTCAGTATAGATAGAATGGCCTTAAACCGTAACCCTTACCCGCCTACACCCCTAAACTCTAAGCCTTAAACGCTAAACCGAAACCTTAAATCCTAAACCCTAAACCCTATAAGCCTAAACCCTAGATCCTGAACCCTAAACCCTGAAGAAGATGCCTCTGAGGTCGAAGACCTCGCGCCCGTTGCTTGGCTGCCTGCCGCAAGCAGCCAGGCGCACAGGGTTGGGCGGCGGGGGGGGGGGGGGGGGCGGAATTTTTGTTGGGGTGGGGGGGGGGGGTTAGGGTTTTAACGGTTCCTTTCAGGGATTTAGAAGGGTTCCGAAAAGGTTTAGGGGTTTAGGATTTGCGCTTTGGGGTTTCAACGGTTCCTTGAAGGGAGCTAATCCCTTCCCCCATTTATTGAACACCCCCCGAAGAATGACAACACTTTGGGGCTAATCCTCCCGAATCCCCGCACTTTAAATCCGAGGGGTCCGGAGCAAGAGCAGGAGTAAGAGCAAGAGTTAGCAAGAGGGATTTAGGTATTTGGGGTTTAGAGCGTTTTGGGTTTGGGGGGTTAGGATTTAGGGTTTATAAGAGTTCAAGTAACGGTGAAACCGCTTGAAAGGTTCAGGGCTGACCGTGCAGTAGGCGGCGAGTTAATACGGCCTATTCAAGGAATATAATTCCCTGCCCCACTCCCCCTGCCCCCTAATGGTCCCCATGTGTCGCCTCTGAGCCCTTCGAGTTCGGATCGGCATAGCCCTGGAGCCCCAAAGCCCCGGAGCCCCGAAGCTGGGAGTTTCCGAACGTAGGGGGCCCTAATGTAGTACACTAAATAGTAGGATCATTGTTATTTTTAATATCATTACTATGAAAAGGACCCCAAAATAAGGTATGTACCCGAAACACCCAGCTCATCCCTGCAGCCCAAACCAGAGACCCAGCCACCTCTAAGTTCAAGCCTTAAACCCCTAAACTCCCTAAACCCCGAATCTCTTAACCTTATCGAGCCCGAAACAAACCTAAACCCTGAAACCTTAAACCCCAAGCCCCCAGGTTCATGAAGTACTAGACCTCTTTTTCCGAAGAGAGGCGGGCTTTTGGCTGATGCTCGTGGCCGCAGTTCTCTTCGGCTGCTCCGCCGTAATGGCTGTCGTGGCCTGGAAGATGTACCGCAAGAAGGCCTGAACGGAGCTCAATGAGAGTGTGGAGTAGGTTTTGGGATGCAGGGACGGGTATATTGCGAGAAGAACAGGTCAGCGGTTTCATCTGACATCAAGGTTCGGGGTTCCAATATCCTTTCCCCAAATCCTAATCAGAAGCATCTCCCTTCGTTTAGGGATGGGCTGAGCTGTTCATGTATTGCTCAAGGCGTGGAGTTCGCGGCGCAAGTGGCCCGGGAAGCTCCAGTGTTCCGAAACGAGACTGTGGGACGAAAGGGTAATGTTAGGTTGAGGATGGTTGGGGTACTATATCTGGGGGGGGGGGGGCGGGTTAGTTTGTAATAGTGGTCCCCGGTAGTTCCTACACAACTACGTACCAGAATGTGCGCCGAAACCGTATTCTACTTCTAATCATTAAGGCCCGCTGTACTGGACTTGGAAAGCCCAACCACAACCCCCCTACCCAACCGACCAAGACCTGAAGCCCTAAACAGGCCCTAAACCGTGGTCAGGGTTTGTGGTCTATAGGGTCTAGGGTTGGGGGTCTAGTTTACATCTTTCACATCTAGGCTTTCAGGTCTAAGCCCTAAACCCTAAACCTACCCTCATAAGCCTCGAGATGCAGGTGGAGATGAAGCGATTCCAGGAGACGTCCACTGCAGGTGGCACGGAGCCCGTCATTGGCAGGCCAAGGGCTCTAAATCATTGCACCGGGTTTTAGGGTATACCCAGAGGGCCCATATGGGAGTTTCCTAAAAATAGGGGACCCTAATATAGGGCCCTACATCATAGGATCCTTACTACAACGACCCCAAAATAAGGTACCCCCAAATGTATATACATACTACCATTATGGAATTAGATCCCCAAAGACCAGTGCACACTATGCAGGAGAGAAGAGAATGTCAGGTGAGTGTATGCAGGTAGGTAGGTCGGTAGGTGGGTAGGTAGGTAGGCAGGTAGGTAGGCAGGCAGGTGGGTCGGTGGGTAGGTAAAGTAGCTAAGTAGGGAGGCAGGTAGGGGTGGATCTACATATGCCGTATGTGCGTTGCTGGCTTTCTTCAAGCGGTCTTCAACTACTCATCATAGTTTGTGTTTGTTGGTGTGCCTTTTGTACACAAGAAGGTTGCCTACACCGCATCATGGCAAATACCACTATATTGTATCATACTTCTGTGGTGACTCACGGGATGCTGACGGCAGGGAGGGGCATGAAATCAGACTTGAATGCGGCCCATGCCTTCCAGTTGCGAAATGCTCTTTCAGTCACAATACTTCAGCGCGAAATCCCAGTCGCACTGACAAAGTTGAGGCAATATGTAAAGAAGTGTCGGCAACTTACTCAAAGACAAAAGCCCATGGGGCTGAACTTTGCTTTCGACCCCTCCGAAAGCCAACAAAGTTCAGCCCCATTACTTCGGTCGGCCATGCTCAGCGGCATCCGACGAGCAATCCTTCAGCCCTTAACCATCACAAAAAAAGACCCCTGAAGAGGAATGCTGAACCCTCAAACGAACCCTAAAACCTAAACCCTTAAGTGAACCGGAAACGGAACTTTCAACAGTTGCGGAGGCCCTGCGCAGCGATTGGAGAGTCGAAAGTCGTGGACGGCCAGACCAATGTGGACAGACCCGGGGGCAGTGGGGGGTTTTGGTCCTACGTCCTAGGTGGTATTATGCTTAACGCCCTACTTCTGGCTCTTAAAAGGAGCTTATTGAGATGGTCTATATCCCCAACATTCTCCGTAATCCTAGCTCCTATTTGGGTGGATGTACGCAGGATCGAGGGTTTCGTCCTGAAGTGACCGAAGTCCAGCACACATCAACGGTCCGTGCGTTTCAGCCACAATAGGCTCGAGGCCTTACATGTAAGATGGACAATGATCCCTGGCAGTGAGGGGAGACAGCAGATCAGGACATGGCTATGACACCTGAGTTCCGCAACGATGCTGTTGCGCAGGAGGTTTAGGGTTTCAGTTCTACTTCGAACCCTAAACTGTACACCCAGAGTCCAGAAGCTTGGATTTTAGCTTCTCCGTTTAATTGCAAGGGCTGTGCACGAGCCTGCTTAGACATCAAATGTAAACTGATGGCAGGTAGCTGCTATGCTACAAAGTGTCGGGGTCAACAAAGGAGCCTTAATAATTACCGTTGGTATTTTGGGGATTCCTTTTCATAAATATAGTACAGTATAATTAATGGCCCCAAAACCCTATTCTAATGATTGAGGCCCCTATTGTGGGCGATAGATACTGCGTTCCTCGGGTTGGGATCGCGGGCTCGGGGGGTTTCGGCGGAAAGCCGTAAGACCACAGCCACAGCATGTCAACAACGGTTTAGGGTTTAGGGTTTAGGGGTTTAGGGGTTTTAGGGTTTAGGGTTTAGGGTTTAGGGTTTAGGGGTTTAGGGGTTTAGGGTTTAGGGTTGCTCTTCCTAGGAATGGAACCCTAAATCTCACGGATGCCGCAGATCCACACTCGGGCACTTCCTTGTACAGAGTCTTTGCAGCTCTAGCTTTGAGTTTTATCTACGTTACATGTGGTTCCTCCACATGAGGCGCTCCGCCGAAGAGGCGGCCTCGTAGCTCGATTTATAAAGCTTTTTATCTTCACGAATCGCTGAGAATCCCCTGCTTCAAGCAGTTTTGGGCTCTCATCGCGTGAAGTAGGCCCACTTGGTGGTATGCCCTGGGAGACGCACCTGAGGAAATTAGGGTTTAGGCTTTATGGCATAGGAGTCCCGAGTTGTAAAGCAGGCTACAAGGGTTTAGGGTTTAGGGGTTCAGGGGTTCAGGGGTTAGGGTTTAGGGTTTAGGGTACACACTACTACCTCAAGTTTCATGCCTTTGTTCCTGCTGCCGGTCTGGCATTCCGGTGACGATCGCGCATAGTTCAGGCAGAAAACAGGAGCGACAGCACGTGCGTGATGCATGACGTTGCAGCAGGGTCCGGCTGGATCACGAACCGATGGAAGAAACCGCAAATTACCCGGTAGATGCTAATTCCGCTAGCTACACCCTGAACCCGAAAACCCCGAACCCCCCAAAAATCCCTAAGCCCCAATTGCACCCCAAAATCTGCCGAGAACCGAAGTCCCATGTACCCAGATCTGCAGTCTCCTTAGGAATAATGGTTTTTATTTGGTCATATATATATATATATATTATTTGGTTATATAAAACCCAAGAGAATAGTAAGCATAGTATTTTTTGTTACGGCTCTCACGGGGGTTTAGAGAGATAAGCCCCCCCCAACCCTCCATTATAGCCAAAAGCCCCCCCGCATTGAGGGACCCGAGGATCCTGGTAGGACTGAACCCATTGAGACCCGAGAAGTACCTGAAGCCTTACACCTAACAATAGGAAAAGTTTTCATATACCCTCAATATAGCCCATTATAGGGTAGGGGTCCCCATTAAGGGTCCCTGGTTTGGTCCGGGGATCAAGCTCATTAGGAAAAGAATGAAATGTACAAGTGATAGTAGTCGTACTAGGTCTAGTGACTATTCGTACTAGTACTTGCAATAGTCACAGCATTCGCAATCGTAACAGCAATAGAGCTCGTAATAGTAAAAGCCTTCGTAATAGTATTCAGAAATCGTAATAGTACTAGTACTAGTAATGTAGCAGCAATGGTAAACATAACAGCAATAAGATTGTAATTCATATCAATAAGATGACTACTAACGATGATGATAGCAATACGACGAACAACAACAACATTAATAGTGACCCTCAACCCCTAAACCCTTGATAATAACTATACGAAGAACAATATAACATTAATAATAACTCTAAATCCCGAAACCCCAACCCAGGCACGGCTTGGCAAACTCGAGCTTGAGGCAGCAGTTGCTGGCAGTACCCGGAGCAGGCCAGGAGGTCAGATCCCGTCGTACCACCCCGGAGGCTTAGGGCGGCAGTTCAGGGTTTGGGGTTTAGGCCCCGGGCTTAGAGATTGGGTTTAGGGCTTAAGGCTTAGAGTTTGGGGGTTTGGGTTTAGGGAATACTGCGACATAATCATCAAGGATTTCGGCAAGTAGGCTTAATTTACGTAGGTTTTACGTAAGTGTCGAAGTAAGTCCAGTCAAATTATATTGACGCGACTGTACAGTCTACTTCTACGTACCAAGTTCAGCGCTTATTGATGCGTGGTGTTGAATGTCCAGGACTGTGGTGGAGGATTTCGGGTTTGCGGTTTTGGGTTTCGGGCTTAGAGAACTGAGACTGGCTTGAAGTGTAGGACGTTGCAGTGGTAGGGTCATGCCGAAAGCATGGCCGAGGGTTCGTCCGTGGCTTGGATGGCATGATGTATGATGTGATGATGTTGACGGATGTTGGCCATGAGGTTTGGGGGTTGGTTGGCCTTTTGGTTGTCGTGAGGCTGCCACTTGATCTAATCGAGTGGTCCGTCGCGCATCGTATACTGGTTTTTGCTTGCGGCGCCGAGTTGATTTTAGCATCGAAACGCGGGAGTTCAGTATTGCCTGGGAGCATAGGTCGTGTTTCTGAATCCCTCCGGTACATGCGAGGATGGGTGTTGGCGATGCTCCTGAAGAAATGCGGGAAACACGCCAGTGGAGTCATGGAACGGTTTATGGAGGGGTTTCTAGAAGGGTTGATAGAAGTGTTTCTGGAAGTTTTTAGCAGCTTAGCCGGGCTTTTTGCGGGTCTCTAGAAGGTGTTGTGGATGGATGGAGGGAGGGATGGAAGGATGTGATGAGGTGAGGTGATGTGAGGTGGGATGAGGTGAGGTGGGATGAGGTGAGGTCAGATGAGATGAGATGAGATGAGATGAGATGATGTTCGGTGTTGCCTCGTTGCTTGACACGCTTTCGGGACACTCGTTCTCCAGCTAAGCACTTACTCGAAGTTCCTGAGTTTTCCCCCCACAAATACCCGGTATGTTGCATGTTGGTCCCCATACCTATACCCTTTCAAAGCGCCCTACAAACTCCTATGAGCCCCACACCCACAGACTGTAAGCCTGATCCTTGATCCCAGCTGATGCAGGCTACTTCCCTCAAACGCGCCAGCCCCGGACGGATGTAGGGGCGCATAAACAAGGGCTCTACCCTGTAAGCATACAGGCGCCTGGAAGAAGGGGAACTCCCGAAACTTGAAGCTTTGAGATCCTGCAGTTTAGGATCTAGGGTTTAGGGCTTAGGATTTAGGATTGAGGGTTTTGGGGTCTAGGATTTAGGATATTTAGGGTTTAAGGGTTCAGAGGTGTCAGGATGTAGGGCTTAGGATTTGGCGCCGTTTCGGCCCAGAGGATGAGTTTTGGCCTTCGGAGCCTTTGGAGCTTCGACATGTCTCACGTAGGTGTACAGTAGAAGCCAGAAAGTTGGAACATGGCTTTAGGAGGACTAGTGCTATAGGATCCCTTTTACTTTACCCTATAAGGGCATGAGGATAATCATGTTCCAACTTTCTGGCCTCTGCTGTAGGGTTTAGAGTTTAGGGCTTAGTGATTCCAGGGTTTAGGGTTTAGGGGTTTAGGGTTTAGGGGAAACAACTCTGCGGACTAAACCCCCCACCCCTCAAAAGTTGGTGGGAGAATTGCAACCCGTCGGGTCAAATACCCCGTCAGCCCCAAGCCTCTCAGATTCCCTGAGCTCCACAAACCCCGGATACCCAAAACGAAAAGCGCTCGTCAATGTTGAATCCCCAATTAACTCAAAGGCCCTGATCAACCCCAAGGCCCTCCTAACACGAAAGCCCGAAGAAACTCAGACAGCCGACTTTCTTAGCCGCTTCAACATGCAGATCTGCAAGACCACAGCCGCAGAACTCCGACTGCTCGGGCATACTCTACCCTTAACTTTGAAATACTATTTGGTGGACTTTATCTGGGAATCCTAAATATGGAGCCCTCGATGAGGGATAGCTTCTCCGGCAGGGTTAGGATCCATTGTTTATTGCTTTGGAGTTTCGGTGCTGGCTTAAGGAGAGTTTTAGCTCCCAGAATTGAACTGCAACGTCTCAGTCACTCAAAAAAACTGCTTCTGCGCCCTTGGTTGGAAGATACACCCAACAAAGACACTCCTCCAAAAACCATAAGCCCTAGCAGAGCCCTGAAAACTTAACCTGCACGTTCCCGAGACAGGAAGCCATGAAGCTGTGGCTTGAATCAAAGGGGAAAAGGAGGGACCTTAATGGGGACCCCTACCCTATAATGGGCTATATAATGGGTATATAATAGCTATATTACGGGTATATGCCTAGGGGTCCTTATTAAGGGTCCCTCCTTTTCGCCTTTGATTGAAGGTTGTGACTGAGGAGCCCCTATACGCCAAGCCTAGCATATCCTAGCATATGGGAGTTTCGGAAAAGTAGGGGTATCTTGTTTTGGGGTCCTTATACTAGGGATCCTACTATTTAGGGCACTATATTAGGCTCCCCTATTTTCGGAAACTCCCATATCCTAGCATCAGATGAACATGAAAAGCGAGGGGCGCCGATTTCAAGGACCCCTTCTACTGGGGTTGCCTGGTGAGTTCTTAACCCGACCACGCTCCTAAACAGGTCCTAAACCCTACACTCCGAGACTCTAAAGCCCCTCTACACCCCGAGCTCTGAGTTATTATAGGGTTCTAGTCCTAGTATAATGGGCCCCAAAACCCTGTTCTAATTGTTAAAGCTCTAGATTACTCTCTCCAGTAAACTTCAAAGCAGGGCCCCTGAGCTCCAACTAGCCGAGGCTCCGATGCGACATTGCCGCCGGTCCCGAGGCAGTGGGTTCCGACAATTAGACTTTGGGATTCAGGACATTGCAGGGTGTACCCTAAACCCTATAGACCCTAAACCGATATTTATCAGGAGTCGGTAAGGGTTTGTGAAAGCGCGTCTTCAGCCTATGATTGCTGTGGCCAGTCACTGCCGAAGTTTGTGTGGCACTTCGTACTCTTGTTGGCAATCGATGTAGGATTCTAGCTTGTAAGTTTTTATCGTTCAGGTAGCTCTGAACAATCCTGGAGCCGTTTGCTTATCCTAAACGCAAACCCCGCCAACAAGAATCCCACACCGTAAATTTTCAGAAACACCAAACTCTAAAAAGACACCTTACTAAACCCCAAAATGGGAAAACTCTAAACTCCACAGATCTTCTGCACCAATCTCCAGCCGCGAGGACGCAGAGGACACGGAAGAGGACTCTGGGGAGGACCTCGCCCTGGTCCCCAAAAAGAGTTAGCACACAGGGGTTTAAGTTTAGGGGTTTAGGGTTATTGGTTTTGGGGTTTTGGGGTTTGCGGTTTAACTATAGTCTCCATTGCAGTGGTTAACCAGTTATATGGTTAGGACCCTATAATAGGGATTTTGGTTAACCGAAGAAAGAAACTACAATGGAGACTATAGGTAGCATAGACCATTTCCATTTTCAACTCATGCACCCCCCCGAGCACCCAAACCATAACACCCTATACCTCAACCTTCAACCCGCCCAAGAACCACAGGTAGAACTCACCTGAAGACCCAAAACCATAACAACCTATACCTCAACCCTCAACTCACCAAAAACCCAACCCTCAATACCCACAAGATGGCCCTATTTTAGCCTCAGATGCCCAAGCCTGAAGCAGCTGCACAGTGCATTCCAGGTGCGGGGTTTCGGATCTCCCGTCTCCGAGGTTAGTTCTGAGCATTCTGCTTCGCGTCACTATCCCTGTCATGGTTTGGCCATGGAAAATGGGGCAGCAAATCTAGCTCAGAGTCCCCTAACATCGGGCCTTTAACAGTTACCTGGTGTTACCTAGACTATTTTGCGGGTTCCTGATTACAGTTAGTTAGAGCATAATATACCCGCCAAAAGCTTGTTCTATCAATAAGGACCCCATATTGACCTCAGAGGCCCAAGACCCGAAAGCCGAAGTGCTGCTGTAGTTGCGGAGGAGAGCGCGCCAGAAAGCACAAGTCTCATGCGCAGAGCTGCGGAGGCTGGTGAATCTTCGCCGTCGGCCAAGTAGGAATTGCAAAGAGCAGGAGTTGAGGATAGCAATGCCGTCATAGCTTTTCCCACTGCTACTGCCAGGGTTGCCAAGTTCTTGCAGGACCGGCAGCGCGGTCGTATGTCATTGTCATATTTACAGAAAAACTACAGCGTGAAACATCATGAGTTTAGCGGCTTACGTTGGCTTCTGTTTGCTTTGCTGGAACGGTCGAAGCAGTCCCAAGCCCAATTTTTGTGCACTCATCAACCTGATTCAGGAACCTAATTACATAGGCATCCTGAACCCTAAAACCCTAAACCCTAAGCCCTAAACCTTAAACCCTAAACCCTAAACCCTAAACCCTAAACCCTAAGCCCTAAACCCTAAACCCTAAACCCCTAAACTCTAAACCGAAATCCCTTTATATTAAGACACCCAGGGCCAGGGGTTTAGGGTTTAGGGTTTAGGGTTTAGGGTTTAGGGTTTAGGGTTTAGGGCTTAGGGCTTAGGGTTTAGGGTTTAGGGCTTAGGGTTTAGGGTTTAGGCTGGCTGCTGAAAGATCTGGCATTCATGGACCTGCTTATCACCTGCCACTTCGCATTCGATATTGTAAGGACATGAGAACTCGGGATTCTTTTTGCATATACTACAGGGGTCTACATAATTACCAAGACTATTTTGGGCTTCCTTACTATACTCATAGCATAATGGGCCCCAAGACCCTATTAAAATACAAGTTTGATTATGCATCCCCTATATTACCTTTGAGGCAACTTCAGGGGCTGAACCTGGAGTTTTCTGTTTTCTTGTTATGGTCGGTTGAGACCAAGGAACCCAACTTGCACATAGGCATGCCATGTTCCGTATGCCCTAGACCTTAGCCATAATACGCTGCGGACGAGTTGAAAGACTTAAACCCCCAAAACTCCAACGCCCAACACTAACACCTAGAGCCTCCGAACCGAACAAAGCAGTTTCATGAGGGACCCTGGACTCCCTAAAATCACTCTGCACTCGGGGCCCCTAAGTGGGCACTTTTGGCTCGCAGCTCAAGAGTCCCCCCGAAGATTCAGTGCACGACAGCTGCCCACGGAGACATGGGTGTCTCGGCTCGAGAAATGAGTTCGAGTCTTCGGTTAAAATAGGATTTAGAGTTTTTTTTTGTGGGGTTTGATGCCATGCAGAGCATGGTGTTGGGTCTAGATTCTGTGCAACGTCGGTGTTTACACAACCCCGCAGGACAAAATTGCAAGGGCAACTTTAATCCTAGATCCTAAACCCTATAACTCATCCTAGGCACGAGCTCTCAGCCGTCTTGGACCCTAACTCACACACCAGGCCCCAATCCAATATTCTGGGATCCGGAAAGCCTAAACGCAACAAAGCCCTGAGGCGTCGTCGAGCGCTTTCTGGAAAGCATCTTCGAAAGCATAGGCCGCAAGGTGGGACGGCATCCGGCACCTGGGCCTGCAACGCAAGCACACTTTCCCGAAGTGCACTCTCATCTCACCCATCCTCTGCATCTTTGCATGCCGACAGGTCCGTCTCCTCTTGGAGAACGACATTTGTCTTGTGGGGTGTCCCAAACCGAAAGCCCCAAACCCTAAACGCCTAAACCCACAAGATCCTAAGCCCTAAACCTCATAGCCCCATAGCCCCATAGCCCCGACACCAAGAGGATCCCAAGCCCCAGAACCCCAAAAGTCTGGAAGAACCGGGTTCTGGGGTACCATACTTTATTACTTTTTCATTGGACCTGTTCCTTAAACAGTGTTAGAACCAGAAGTGCAAACTTTGTTCTCCCTGGTTGCTTCAAATCTTGGAGAAGATGGGAGTTTCCGAAACTTTGGGGATCCAAGTATAGTACCCTAAATAGTAGAGCCCTCTTAAACTCCTAGATCAGGTCAAGAGTCTCATAGGCAGCGTGGTCTTTGTCATTATCTGTGGCGGTGGCTTCGCTTTCTTGACGAGCCCTGTCGAGCATCCGGATAGCTTCGTCGAGTCCAGCGGTTTCTGACAGGGTTTCTCTAGGGAGTTTGCAGTGCTTCGCGCAGGGTTCTGCAGGGTGAGTTTTGTGTTTAGAGAAGATTGACTGCCATACCACAGCAGCAACAACACTGGCAACTGCAAGTGCAACTACAACTATATAGACTATATTACCAGGACCAAGACCAAGAGCAAAAGCAATTCCAACACCAGCATTTACACCATTTACTACAACTGCAACGACCACTATATCTACAACAACAGCGACTAAATAACAACGACAACAAAAGCGACATCAGCGACACGTGGGACGCCAGCAACAACCACGACAACAACGGCACCAGTGACAACAACGACGCCGGCAACAACCACGACAACATCGACAACAGCAATAGCAACGGCAACGACCACAGCGACAGCGACAGCAACAGCAGCAGCAGCATCATCATCAGCAGCAACAGCAGCAGCAACAGCGACAACGCCAGCACATCAGGCGGAGTAGCATCATGCAGAGTCGCAGTGCTAGTAAGTAACGCCAGAAACCGCAGAGCTGAAAAGACAACATACATAAGTCTTCCTACTGTCGGTGTCTTGTACTCATCCCTAAACCCTAAACCCTAACCCGTCAGATCTTCTGAGGAGCGAGACGCGGCCGGAGAAGCAGTGGGTTCCCGCAGGCGCTGGCACCAGCTTTTGCGGGCAGCAACAGAGTTTGAACGCTGAACTCAGGCCTTGGGGGATTCTTATCGGCTGAGCCGCAAACCCCCAAACCCTAAACCGTATAGTACCCTGCAGAACCCTTCTAGATCCCTGGCGGGCTTGAATACCTGGGAATTCGTATCTATGTAAGGCCCCTTCGTTGTGCCGTGTGGTGACCCCTAAAGAACCAACCCTCACATGAGCCCTAAACCCTAAGCTCGATCATATCAGAGGGTTGGGGTTGTGAGGTCAGGTAAGGGTTACTTCTGTTCCACACTGAGGCCCCAACATAGGCTCTACCTGGTAAGGTATTCTTGCTGTACCGCAGTCGGAAAAGGGCCCGCAAAAAAACAGAACAAAACTCGATCATATTCTTCTGGAACCCTGAATCCTACACCTTATAAGCCCTTGAACCCCTTGAGGATTCTTGTTTCTACTTACTAAGGCCTCTCCATTAGCGCAGCCCTAAACCCATGAGGTCCCCACCAAGGGCTCGGGTTTATGGTATTTAGGGTTTGGGGGGTTTAATGGGTTTGTGGTATTTAGGGTTCGGGGGGCTTAATGGGTTTATGGTATTTAGGGAAGGGTTCCACAAAATTCCTGAAGGGTTCTCTACGGGTTGCAGCGTTATACATCTGTTTTATGGCTCAATATAGAAGCCGGAATTGTTACAGCTACTATTGGACTATTTTTCCTTTCGCTCCAAACAAAACGCCCAAGAGTCCTAATACACCCTTAATATAGCTATTATGTACCCATTATATAGCCCATTATAGGCTAGGGGTCCCCAGTAAGGGTCCGAAAACCCATGGCCTTCTTCGATCTGCCTCAATTCTGCTTGGATGCTCATGGCGCGCCCAAAGCCCTAAACCTCTAAACCCACGGTTTAGGGGTTGTTGGTTTAGGGTTTAGGGTTTCAAGGTCTAAACCCTATGTGAAGTAGGGTTAAAATTACCGTTTTGGTGAGTGTAGAGCGGGCTCCTTTTGAACAAAACGTGAGTGTATAAGTTGGGTTCGATTATGGGGATACTAGCAATATAAACCATACTCTATGCCGGGTTTTAGGTTTTCAAGGTCTTCGGTTTCAACAGCAAAAAAAGAGATGTAGGGCTAACAAAAACCCTGAACCTCGAGCCTTTGAACCTTAGCCAGCTTAGGGGGTAGGGGTTCAGGGGTTTCTGTTGGTTCGGTATCGTAGGATTCTACATCAGGGGCCTTACTAGCCAGAAAAGGGTTTTGGGAAATACTATACTACCATCATAGTAACAAGGAGTTTCATGCACTATCAGGAAGAGTTTATGCAGGGTTCAGAAAAGTCCAAGCAGAGTGAATGCAGCCTAGGGTTCAATTTCAAGATTCTGAGGAGGAGGAGGAGGAGGAGCAGGAGTTCTGGGTGTTTTGACCTTACTGGTATGGGTCAGAGGAGTCAGAGCTTTAGGTTTTAAGGGTATGGTATGGGGTATTTTGGCACTAGAGCTTTGGGATTTAGGCTTTGGGGGTGTATGGGTTTAGGGTTCATGGCATTCGGATGGGAGTTTGCCACTGTTGCAGGTTCATTGGCCCTCGACCACAATGAGTATGCCTGCCACCGAGTTGTGGCATGCGGATAATCTTCTGGCACCCAAAAAAACAACAACCATTGCCCCTGCCCCTGCACCCGCGGCCGCAACGACGTTGGGCGACGATTACTACTGCTCCTACGACTACCAACCCTACCGCTAGCAATCCCGGTGCCGCTAAATGGGAAACGCCATGCCGTTGATTCGACCAGGTCCTTTGTAGAGTTTATGTTTGATCCCCCAGATTCCCAAAACGCTTATCGAAAGCACTAAACCGTGAAACCGTGTTAAACTTAGACTTTTTAAGCCGGGGAGTTTCTTAAGAACTGGTGATCTGCTAGTCGAATGTTTAGACACCACAGAGCCACCGAGCCAGTCGAGTGCCACGGTTTTGATTAGATTCCTGCCGCAGCGCCGGCCCAATGTCAGACGTCTACTGCCAGTAGCTCCGTGCACCGTGGGGGCGGAGCCATGGAAGAAGAAGCTCCAGTATGTCCAATGTGTCCCTCCCATCCTTTCCTCATCGACCAGGGCGAGCGGAGCCGATGGTATTGTTGCCAATGTTGCCTGGTCGCAGGCGTGTTCGGCTGAGACGGGGAACACCTCCCCGAAGGTGATCTGTGGAAGCAAGGCAGCAGGAACTCTGATTGACAGGGCCGTAAGATCAAGCCCTGATGTAGGTTTGAGGGAATCGATCCAAAACAAACAAACTCCGAGGTTTTCGACCCCGAGAAACCCGTCACGCACAAAGCCTCTGGCGCCATGAACGGGCTCTGTAGCCTCAGCCCTTCTAAGTGCTGAAGCCGCACGCTGGCCCAAGACCAAGGTGAGGAAATGAAGGGCACGGTCCAGCAATTCTCCTGCAAGTCGTGCGACCGAAAATACTGCGAGGAGTGTGCATGGGCCGACCTCGAACAGGATCCGGGAGTCAGTGACACAGAGCCCAAGTTACGGCTTGCATGAGGTTTCTTTAGAATTACAATTACATGCGTCCCACAGCTCAGGGCCTCCATCTCGGCAGCCTTTTTTCGCCGGTTGCAGCCTCATCGGTTAAACATACCCATATAAGGATATATCTGTACATGGATAGCTAGAGAGATAGGTTGTTAGATTGGCAGGTCGTGTAGGTAGATAGACAGCTAGATCGGTAGGTAGAACAAGGTAACGCAATGCATGCGTATTCATATGTAGATGTAGCCCTGATTCAAGACTAGGAGGACGAGGCGGACGACGAGGGGGAAGAGGATTGGGAGTACGACGCCGATGCAGACGCCGAGCCTTGGATGTGTGTCGGCTTTCGTGTTCATGAAGAAACCTCTTACTCAAGCACTAGGATGCCCTGCAGTACCCTTTATTCTTTGTAGTCCTGGGTTCCGCCCTTTTTATTCCTAGAGCTTTCCCCAAAGCCCTGAAAACGTGAAGCCACTAAAGCCGGAACCTACAGCGGCCCTACACCATGATTCTAGCTAGTCGCCCTGAACCCCAACTAGGCCCTCGTGGTTGTCCCTTGTAGAACCCTCCTATAGCCCCGAAGGGGCTACTGCAAGGGGGGGTCCTGTGAGGACGACTACGATGCTTCCTTTAATGCGCCCGAAGCCCAACCCTAAACCCTAAACCAAGGACTACTGGGACGTCGGAGACCTCCAGTGGGCCTGGGAGGTGGGCGAGCTCGACGCCTTGCCTCTATGTGGGAATTGTAGCGCTTGGGTTTTAGGAGTTAGGGTGTGGGGGTTACGATGTATAGGGTTTTGGATTTAGGGTTTGGGGTTTGGGGGTAGGGTGTGGGGCTTTTATTGTTCAGGCTGTGGTCTCCTTGAAACCTAGCTAAACCCTTCGACCTCAGGAAGCCAAAGCCAGAAAGTTGGAACACAATTATCCTCAAGCCCTTGAAGCAAATAAAGTATGGGGAATCCCATCATGAACCATCCTAAATGTCTATGTTCCAACTTTCTGGGATTCACTTTAAAGCCCTGAGCTTGGGTTTCAGGGCAGCAGAATTTCGTTTTTAGGGCTCGCAGCTGGGTTTGTGGGTTTTCGGCGATTCATGCAGGGTGTAGGGTTCTGGCAGTCTAAAGTTGGGTTCAGGGTTTGCGTACTTTGGCTTTGCGATATTACCCTAAATCCGAAGCACCTCAGCCGATTTAGGGACTTCTTGGGTCTGCTTACAAAGCATAAGCCAACTTGCCGTGAACTTCTACATCGGTTGACAGGAATCCTGTGTTCCCCCACACCCGAGGCTCTCTGGAATGATCGTTTTGGACGCTTGTTGCCCCAGGTCTGGAAACCTTCTGTCTTAAACCCTAAATCCCACAACCCTAAACTCTGAACCTTAAACCCCTAAACCCTAAACCCTACACATAACGTCGTGTTTTGGGGCCCGTAGCGCATTGTCAAGAGATTCAGGATGTGGGTAGTTCTCTTAAGTATGGTCCCGTTTAGTGTCCTTACACAAGGGAAGTAAACAGGTAACCTAATTTAGAGAACTACCCATGTGAGAGGCGAGTGCCTGCAACGGGGATCGGAGTTACTTGTTCGCCGGTTAGCAGGATAAGACAAAACCAACTTGATTAGCTCTAGATTCCCCAAACCCGAGAAGCCTACAATGGGTTAGAAGCTGCCCCCACCCTGTATAATAGTGGTATAATAGAAATATAAAGGGCCCTAATACAATCCTATATAATCTTTATGGTCACTATTACAGGGTGGGGGCCCCTTCTAAACAATGGGTTTAAGGTTCATGGCTTCTTCGGGGTGAACTACAACCCTCAACCCTGGGTTTTGATTTGGGGGTTGGGTTTAGGGTTTAGGGTTTAGGGTTTAGGGGTTTAGAATCATGGTTCTACTCAGAGCCGACCGCGCTTTCTGGACTGTGTCTTAAGCCGATCTGTTGCGGTTTAGGATTTGGGGGTTTCCGAAAACTAGGGGTGCTTTTTTTTGGGGTCCCCATAATAAGGAGCCTACTATTTGGGGTACTATTTTCGGAAACTCCCATTTAGGGTTAGCTCCTAGGAGCATCGCCTGGAACATGGCCTTCCCACCGGTCCGTCGAACTACGCGTACGACGCGGACTACGCCGAGGAGCTCTGCTCTCGGAGCTTTCGTCGCTTACTTTTAGGGTTTAGGGTTTTGGGGTTAGGGTTTAGGGAAATAGGGTTTAGGGTTTAGGGTTTTAGGGTTTAGGGTTTAGGGTTGCCATAGGAGGCCGAAAGGGGTTTTAGCCTATGGGGGTTTAGTCGGGATTAGGGTTCCCACAATAGGGTTCATGTTAAGGAATCCCTACCCCAAGAATCTTGAACCCCCCTTTTGGCCTCCCATCAACTTGCGACCTTTTAATCCTAGACACCAAAGTTGTTTGGGCATCAAACATTCCCCAGCCTTGATTCATGCAAATCCTAGAGGACCACTGTAAAACCCAACAAGAGCTTTCGATATCCCTAATGTAGGAACCTGATTAAGAAACCCTGGGCCTATAACCCAAACTAATTAGTAGGGTTCGTATACAGAACCCTAATAAAGGCCCAAGGTTTCCTAATCAGGTTCCTACATTATAATGAAGCACCTCAACTACGACCCTAAACCCCCGAAGCCCCGAAGCCGAAGCTCGACTCCCCAGCAGAAGGAAGCTTCAAACGAGGTCCTGAAACCGAATCCTTTGGTCGACAATAATGAGGGAGTAGGGCTCATGTACTGGGTTCTGGAAAAAAGGGTTCCATAAGAGGGATTTGGATTAAATGATATGGGTTTCATTATTCTCATGGTAGCTTGAATCAAGCCCCCTTAACACGAACCCAGTATACACTACCATTATGGAGTTCGGTCCGAAAGACCATCCCTAGCATTGCTTTTGGGAGCTATCCATACTTGTAGTGTATATGGGCCCCCTGGGTTAGCAAGAATATCACGCCAAATGGGTAGTTGTCAAAATTAGGGTCCCGTTTTGGACACCCTAAATATTTGGTGCCGTATTACAATACGAACCCAAGAAGGGATCATAATTTTGACAACTACCCAAATATGAAGCACCCCAAAGCCTTCCTGGACTCGTCAAGGCGCCTCTAGCAGAGTTTCAAAGCCCCAAAACCCAAGCCTTCTACCCTCGACGCGTGGATTAATCAACCCTACACTACCCGGTCCTAAGCCCCAAGTATCCCCCAACTCCCAGAAAATATATCAGGACCCCCCAGTGGCCCTTTAATGGAGTCCTTATGGCCCTTTACAGTGGGTAGTTGGCGGGTCCAGGCAGGGGTTAGGGCTTAGGGGCCTGGATCTCGACTCCCCAGAGCTGCAGGCCCTCAGTCTCAGTCCCAAACCCTGAAATCCGAACTCATTGTATTTCAGGAACCTGACATTCCCAACACCTTGATAAAAACTCTTACATCTCAAAGCCCCGAAAGCCCCCAAACCCTCAACCCTGATGAGCCCTAATACGCATTAAGTTAGAGTTTAGGGTTTAGGGATCATTAAGACACCCTCCTATACCTTAAACCCTGCACCGCAACTTCGAAGCACCAGAACCGCGAGGAGTATCCTGATGACTACTACGCAGAAGCTCGGCTCGCATTGTCATGATGTTTAAAATTAAAGAGGTGTTTAGGTGTTCAAGAGTTTTTGTGTTTTTTTGAGGCTTTTTTTGTGTTGAAGAGGCTTCTGGTTGTTTTTAGGGTGTTTGATGCTTTTGTGGTGTGATATTATGGAGTTTTGATGGGTTTTCCAAAGTTTCTTATGGGGTCTCATGCGTGCTTTTCATTGGGTTTCATCCAGCTTTTCGGTGTTTAAAGGGTTGAATAAGTCTTGTGATAAGGGCTCTGTCCTGTCCTTCGATGCTCCAAGTACCTAGATTGTGTAAGATGGGTTACGGGGATGACTGTCGGGGTTTGCAGGGGAACCAAGCAGACCTGCTACGTCAACAGAGAGTGCAAGTAGTAGGCTGAACCAGCAGAGGCCCCACCATCGGAGCTTGAATTCTACGATTTTCAGCACAAGCCCCCAAAATCGTACTCTAGTTCAACCCGAGGGTTGTG